CGATGGGTAAATCTGAGCCTTCGGGTTGGGTTGGGGTGGTTTGGTGGGTGGTGATTTGAGGGAGGCGGCAGCTGGCACGCGCGCCGCGCGAGAGGCCGGCGGGCGAGGCTGCGCGATGCGGTGGGGCCCCATGCCGTCCCCCTCGTGCGCGGCGCAGCGGGACGACGGCAACCCTCGGCTGCCCCGATTCGCAACACGCAGCACGTGGCGCATTGCTGCGGAGATCGACTCGCATCCTGCAAGCGCAGCACGTAGCACGTAGCGCACTGCTACGGAGATCGATACGCAGCACGCAGCACGTAGCGCACTGCTACGGAGATCGACTCGCGTCCTGCAAGCGCAGGTCGGACGCGAGAAGTTCGCCAAAACGTGGGCCAATACGTTGAGCCAACACGCAACGACACGGGCGCTTTGAGCACAGCACGCGCTGCGTATCAAAACGTATACGCATCGAGGCAGCTCAGCAGCAGTCCCACGAGCAGCTGGCGTTGCGAGAAGGAGTCGCCGCATTTGCGACAACCACTGGAGGCCGCACAAGCGGGGTCAGAGCAGAGGAGTTGCAACGCTCCGCCGATGCATCGGCGACGTCGGGATAGAGTGGCTCTGGGTCGCGACGCACAGGCAATGCATCGGCGACGCGGCGCGATCCTCGGACCCCGTCTGAGCATCGTTTAACCGATCCCCATCCCCACCAGCGTGGGCTGGGCCCCAATGGCCGATGAACCCCCTCAGATGGGGCTCATAGGCCGTATCCTTCGGGTTTCGAGGGGTGCATCCCCAACTGGGGGTGTAATTTGGTGGGGGTCTCGAAGGGGATGAGCATGGGGATGGGGATCTGTTCAACGATACTGACCATCAACTCCGGCCCAGTGTGGGCGGCCTCGAGGCCAGACGTCCGACGACGTGACTTGCTTGATTCAGGGGCGCCTGGAACTCTCAGCTCCCCCACTGGCCAGTTTTTCTCGCCGCGTGGCAGTTTTCGACGGCCCGCGCCCGATGCGGGCATGCAGATGCCCGCGAAAACCGTGATCACTGAGCGGACTGCCCTCCGGTCCCTTCGAGCGCTGAACGCAGAAAATTCCCCCGAAATGCTGGCTAGACATGCCTGCATCCACGTGCTCTATATTTACGTATCCGAGCGCTCAGAAACGATTCTGGGGGTTGTCGCGTGACTTTTCCTGAGACCCTGGACGCGTGGATGCACACTACAGCCTCCAGGGACCGTCCTGGGACTCCTTCAGGGACCTCCTGAGCCGTCTAGGGGGGGGGCCATCGGGGGCCTGCCCAAGAGGCCCAGATCACTCTAATAACTCAACCGGATTATGTTTATGTGTTTCGTTTACGGCAGGTTCGTGTCGTGTCGACCACCGCGTTGGTTCCTGAAACCGCGGGGATCGCTCAGCCTTGAACGACCAGGAGGAGGAGGAGGAGGAGGAGGAGGAGGAGGAGGAGGAGGAGAGGAGGAGGAGGAGGAGATGGAGGAGATGGAGGAGGAGATGGAGGAGGAGGAGATGGAGGAGGAGGAGATGGATGAGGAGGAGATGGAGGAGGAGGAGAGGAGAGAGGAGGAGGAGGAGGAGGAAGGAGGAGGGAGGAGGAAACGGTGGATTTCCACGAGTCGCTGGCGGCGTTCCACGAGGAACGCCAGCGGCGGGGCCGCCGCTGGTCGGCAGGGCGCAGACCTACCCAGACCCTCCTCCTCCCCCCTCCTCCTCCCCCCTCTCCTCCTCCTCCTCCTCCTCCTCCTCCCTCCTCTCCTCCGCTCCTCCTCCTCCCTCCTCCTCTCCCCTCCTCCTCCTCTCTCCTCCTCCTCCTCCTCCTCCTCCTCCTCCTCCTTCCTCTCCTCCTCCTCCTCCCCCTCCCCCTCCCCCTCCCCAGGCGACCCAAGACGGCCCTCGAGCCCCCGAGAGATGAGGCCCAAGAGGCCTGCAAAACGGCGCTAGGGAAAGGCCCCCAAGGGGAAGCTTGACCTCTGGGATGGAGCCCTCCACCCCGACACTCGCCATCGCTCGGACGTCCACTCCCCGTGCATCTGTCGGCGTTGTGCGCTTACGTTTCTCCCGATGATTCAAGCTGCTCCTCGATGGCCCTCGCTGAGGTAACAGTGCACACGTCCGAGCGATGCCAGGAAGAAGGTCCCCGAGACCGCCAGCAGGCCCCCCACGCGGCACGGAAGAGGCCCCACGGGGCCCCCAAGAGGCCACGCAGGGGGCCCCCGGCAGGCCGCGGCCTCCACGAGGCCCCAAAACGAAACATCCGAGAGACCCCGAGAGGCCCCCCCCCGCATGAGCCCAAAACGCCGCTCCGGGGCTCCAAGAGGTCCCCATGCCGTCGACGGCCGCCGCACGGTGGTGGGAGGGGCCGAGTCTCGTCCTCCCCCAAGCGTTCCTCCGCAGCGGCCGGAAGAACTGGGTCACCTGCTTCGCCTTCGCGCATCGCGCCCTGCGATGCGCGACGCGCGATGATCTTCGCGCCATCGCGCCCTCGTCGCGACCCCTTGGAGAAGGGCAGCCGTTCCGATCCAGGCTTAGGTCGGGCATGTCCTCCTACAGGCGGATTCTGAACGAAAACTGACAAATACCCCCAAAATATGCAAAAAAACAAAACATACAAATAGCATAAACCAGTAGTCTCCAGACTACTTTTGACGTATTTTTTCAGACTCCTCCTGTAGAGGGACAGGCCCTACTTGAATCCAGGCCGCAACGTGCGAAGCGTGACTGTCTTCGCGCCCCCAGGGGTGACCCGGGGGAACACTTCGCCCAACAGCTCGGCAAGACTGCGGCCCGACGTCTTGCCACAAACGAAGGCGCCTCCGACAACGGAAAGCCGCCCAGCTCAAATTGATCGCCAGCGTGATGGACCGAATCTCGTCCTCCCCAAAAGTGTTCCTCCAAAGGTTTCCACAGCACCAGTGAGGCCTGTGGTGGGCTGAAATGTGCGGCGCGGATGCATGCGAAGGGCACCACTGGAGCCTTGGGTGGAGTTCCCTCTGGGGCCACGAAACGTTTGAGGGGTGGGCCGACATGGTGGACATGCCGAGAGCAGAGGCAGGGATGGGAGAAGGGAGGGATGGGGGAGGGGAGGAGGGAGACGCGGGGCGCTGTCTCTTCAACACGAGGCCCCAACACCACAGGATGGTCAGAACAAAAGTATGCAGAGTGCACTTCGTAGCAAAATCTGGATCATACGCGGGCACCCCGCGATCACTCTGCATTGGTATTTGCCAGGGGCGGCAGGGGGGCTGGCATACTGCCTGCTGTGTGCAGGCCCACTAGACACCATGATGGCCACCGCGCCGCGATTGTGCATTGGCTCTCGACAAGGATGTTGGGGACCGAAATGCTTCCCGATGTGTACTGTCACGTGCGCCGGCGCGCCTGGCACATTCTGCGCGTGCCCCGAACGTGGCGCACCTGGCACGTCTGTAGCGCGCGGCACACATGGCGTAGGTGGAGCACGTGGCGCATCTGGCGCGCTAGGCGTGCCTGGCGCGCTTGGGCCCCAAGGGTGCCTGACGCACTTGGCGCGCCTGGCACGCGTGGCGCACCTCGCTCCAGCCTCGCGCACATGGGGTTTCTTTTGGCTCCCAGCAACTGTCCATCATCCCAAGACGACCGCGGAGCATGCTCCAGCTCGGGTGCTACTTATGTGTTGGGAGGGTGGATGGGAGTGAGCGCAACGGCTTACGGGCATGGAGGGTGCCTTGACCCTCTCCCTCCCTCCCCCGCTCCCATCCTCCCCATTTCGCCCGACCCGAGTGGTTCTCCCAGACATTCCCCCTTCATCTCTCCTTAGACCCCCTTCTCCCTGAAACCATTCCCTCCCTAAGCACGCCCCTGGTTCGCCCGACCCCTTGGTCCTCCCCGACATCCCTCCCTCCTGATATGCCCCCTCCTCCTCCTCCTCGTCCTCCTCCTCCTCCTTTCTCCTCCTCCTCCTCCCTCCTCCTCCTCCTCCTCCTCCTCCTCTCCTCCTCCTCCTCTCTCCTCCTCCTCCTCCTCCTCCTCCTCCTCCTCCCTCCTCCTCCTCCTCTCCTCCTCCTCCTCCTCCTCCTCCTCCCCTCCTCCTCCTCCTCCTCCTCCTCCTCCTCCTCCTCCTCCTCTCTCCTCCTCCTCCTCCTCTGCCTCCTTCTCCTCTCCTACTCCCTCCTCCCTCCTCCCTCCTCCTCCTCCTCCTCCTCCTCCTCCTCCTCCTCCTCCTCCTCTTCTTCCTCCTCCTCCTCGCCCCCCCTGCTTGGATAGCAGGGGCCCCGTCAACGACTCGGGGTTAGCCGGGGCACCCCCCCGCTGGTGGAACCAGCGGGGCGGTCGGCGCCGGCTGGAGGTCAGGATAAAAAACCAGTAGCGGCCACTGGGTGGAGGCCGTGGGCGACCGACCCAAGGACCAGCGGAGGCCGAGCCCTCTTTCAGGGCTTGGGGTGTCCCCCCCGGGGGAGAGGGGTGCGCCGCGGGGGAACTGTGCCGCTCCCCTCATCCTCCCTCCTGGCTCCTCTTCTCCTCCCCCTCTCCCCTCTCCTCTCCTCCCCCTGGGGTTCACAGTCCCACTGCGGCCCACTCCCCCGCCAGGGCTGGGGCCGGAGGCCCCCGCGGCGGCGGCCAGTGCTCTGGAGAGCGCGGAGCGCCAAAGCCGCCGCCGCAGGGGGAGCGCGGAGCGCAGTGGCTGTGATGTTTCAGCTGTGCGCCGTTATGTGGGAGGCCCCCTCAGGCGAGGGGGGCATCGATTTTCGTCGGCTCCGCACTCGTGCTTATTGCGGAGCAGATCGGGCAGGCAACATCCCGAGGCAACATCCTCCTCCTCCTCCTCCTCCTCCTCCTCCTCCTCCTCCTCGTCCTCCTCCTCCTCCTTCTCCTCCTCCTCCTTCTCCGCCTCCTCCGCCTCCTCCGCCTCCTCTTCCTCCTCCTCCTCCTCCTCCTCCTCCTCCTCCTCCTCCCCTCCTCCTCCCCCTTCCCCTTGGTCCTCCCCGACATCCCCTCCCCCCTGAGATTTCTCCCGCGGCCACCAGCGAGGGCAGCGGGGTCTGGCCGGTCGGGGCGGCGTCCTCGCGCGGGCATCGCCGGGCGCGCGGGGGGCAAGGGAGGGGGATCGCCAGAGGCCCGACGACTCCTCCTGCCTCGCGACTCGCGCTGGTGCCGCACGGCCCCTCCAGACTTCTCTGGATGCCTCCAGAACTCGCCCCAGCCTGCCCAGGCTTTGCATCGGTTCCGGCGCAGACGTGCGAGGCGGGGATTTGTCCGTATCCACCGCCTGGGAACCGACGTCCTGGCGCCCCAGCGGGCGGTGGACATGGATAGATTCCGGCCCCCGCGGGCCTGAATATGTCCACACCCGCCGCCTGCCGAGGCTCCGAAAACCGACCCTCCAGGCGGTGGCCACAAATTTAAATTCCCGCCTCGGAGGACGCACTGCCGCCCCTGGGGGCGGGCGCTGGAGCCTCCGCGAGCTCGCGGGGCCTGGGCCTGCGTCGCCCTGCGCGCCTCTGCCTCGAGGCCTGGCCCCCTGGAGGCAAGGGCTCCTAAGTTCGCGCTTCGCGCTGCGCGAAGCGCGAAGCGCGAATAGCTTCGCGCTCTCGCGCCGCCCCCCCAAAGGGAGAAGAGGAGGACGAGGAGGAAGGGGAGGAGGAAGGAGGACCGCGAAGCGCGAACCGCGAATAACTTCGCGCCCTCCTGGGAGCCCTTGTGGAGGTCGAAGGGAGAAGTTGGCCTCGTCGGGCCCCAGGGGGGGCGGAGGGCAGGCCGCGGCCAGCCCGCGGGGGCGGGCCTCCTCAGAAGAAGAAGAGAAAGAGGAGGAGGAAGAAGAGGAGGAGGAGGAGGAGGTGGAGGAAGAGCAGGAGGAGGCGGCGGAGGAGGAGGAGGAGGAGGAGGAGGAGGTCCTCCGACCTTCTGAGAAGTTTCCGGGCCGCCCCCGAGGACGCAGACGCCTTCTCCGGAGGCCCGAGGGCTTCTGAGAGGCCACGCCGCATTCTGAGAAGACCTGCCCCTCCTCCCTGACCCGTCTCTCGACGCAGGCATCGGGCACATGATGGCTGCCTCTCTCCTCCTCCCCCTCTCCTCCACAGGGGAGGATGAGGAGGAGGAGGAGGAGGAGGCGGAGGCGGAGGCGGAGGCGGAGGCGGAGGAGGAGGAGGAGGAGGAGGAGGAGGAGGAGGAGGAGTGAGGAGTACGACGAGGAGGAGGAGGAGAGGAGGAGGAGGAGGAGGAGGAGGAGGAGGAGTGAGGAGTGAGGAGTGAGGAGGAGGAGGACGAGGAGGAGGAGGAGGAGGAGGAGGACGACGACGACGACGACGACGACGACCGAGGACGACGGCAACGGCCACGGCGCCGGCGACGGCGACAGCGCCGGCGCCGGCGACGGCGACGGCGACAGCGACAGCGACGATGATGGCGACGGCGACGGCGACGGCAACGACGACGACGATGACGACGACAACGGCGACGTGGCGACGACTGCAACGACGACGACGACGAAGACTGCGACGTGGCGGCGACTTCGACGGTGGTCACGACGACGACGACCACGACGACGACGACTACCGACTACCGACTACCGACGACGACGAACACGGAGGCAAAACGACGGACGACGGACGACGACCACGACGACGACGACGACGACGACCAAGGACGACGAACGAAGACAACGATACCGACGACAACACCGACGACACCGACGACGACGACGACGACGACGACGACGGCGGCGACGACGACGACGGCGACGGCAACGGCGACGGCGACCGCGACGGCGACGACAACGACGATGGCGACGGCGACGAGAACAGCAACCACGACGGCGACGGCGACGACGACGACGACGAGACGACGACGACGACGACGACGACGACTATCACGACAACGACGACGACGACGACTGCGACGTGGCGACAACTCCGACGGTGGCCACGACGACGGACGACAACGAACGACCGACTACCAACTACCGACGACACCGACGACGACGACGACCACGGACGACGAGGATGGACGATGGTCGACGGACAACGACGACGACGACGACCACAGACGACGACGACAGACGACGGACGACGACGACGACGACGACCACCACCACCACGGACGACGAACGACGGACGAAAACTATGATACTGACTACAACGACGAAGATGATGACGACGACGACGACGAGACGACGGCGACGGCGATGACGACGACGATGACGACGACGATGACGATAACGACCGACTACCGACTGACGACGACAACGATGACGACGACGACTACGTGCGACGAGAAACCGACGACGGACGACGGAAGACGACGACGACAACCAAGGACGACGAACGACGGACGAAGACAACGATACAGACGACACCGACGACGACGAGAACAACAACGACGACCACGAACGGCGGCGGCGGCGACGGCGACGGCGACGGTAACGGCGACGATGACGACGACGAAAACGGCGACGACTGCGACGTTGCGACGACTGCTGCGGTGGCCACGGCGACAACGACGACGACGACCGACTACCGACTACCGACGACGACGACGACGACCACGGACGACGACGACGGACGACGACAGCGACGTTGACGACGACGACTTCCACAGACGACGAACGACGGACTACGACACCGTTAACGACGACAGCACCGACGCCACCGACGCCGACGATGACGACGACGAAGGCGACGTCGACGGCGACGGCGACGGCGACGGCGGCGGAGACGGCGACGGCGACGACGACGGCGATGACGACGACTGCGACGTGACGACGACTGCGACGGTGGCCACGACGACGACGACGACGACCGACGACCGACTACCAACGACGACGACGACGACGACGATGACGACGATGACGACGACGACGACGACGACTACTGAAGACGATGACGACGACCGCGGACGACGAGCGACGGATGACGGACGACGGCGACAATGGAAGACGAACGACGGACGAAGCCGACGATACCGACGACAACACTGACTACACCGACGACGAGGACAACGACGACGGCAACGACGACAACAACGAGGACGGCGACGACGACAGCGACGGCGACGGCGATGACGACGACGACGACGACGACGACGATCACGACGACGACGACGACGACGACGGCGACGTTGCGACGACTGCGGTGGTGGCTACGACGACGACGACGACGACGACGGCGACGGCGACTACCGACGACGATGACGACGACGACCACTGACGCGAACGACGGATGACGGACGACGACGACGACGAAGACGACGACGACGACCACAGACGACGAACGACGGACGAAGACAGCGATACCGACGACAACACCGAAGACACCGACGACGACGACGACCTCGACGACGGCGACGGCGACGGCGACGGAGACGGCGATGGTGACGGCGACGGCGACGACGACTACGACCACGACGACGACGACGACGACGACGACGACGACGGCCACGACGACTGCGACTTCGACGACGACTGCGACGGTAGCCAAGACGACGACGACAACGAGCGACTACCGACTATCGACTACCGACGACGACGACGACTACCACGACAACGACGACGGCGACCACGAACGACGAACGACGCGGAACACGGACAACGACGACGCCGACGACCACGTACGATGAACGACGGACGAAGACAACGATGACGACGACAACACCGACGACACCGACGACGACGACGACGACGACGACGACGACGGCGACGACGACGACGACGACGACGGCGACGATACCGACGACGACGCCGACGACAACGACGCCGACGATTGCGACGTGGCAACGACTGCGACGGTGGCCAAGACGACGACGACGACGCCCGGCTGCCGACTACCGACTGCCGACGACGACACCGAAGACGACGACGACGACCACGGACGACGGACGGCGAACGACGGACGACGGACGACGACGGCGACGAAGACTGCGACGACCACGAACGACGAACGAAGGACGAAGACAACGATACCGACGACAACGCCGACGACAATACCGACGACGACGACGACGCCTACGCCGACGCCGACGACGACGACGACAACCACGGACGGCGAACGACGGACGACGGACGACGACGACCACGATACCGACGACAACACCGACGATGAAGACGACGACGCCGACGCCGATGCCGACGACGACGACGACGACGACGACGGCGACGACGACGACGACGACGACGGCGACGATACCGACGACGACGCCGACGACAACGACGCCGACGATTGCGACGTGGCAACGACTGCGACGGTGGCCAAGACGACGACGACGACGCCCGGCTGCCGACTACCGACTGCCGACGACGACACCGAAGACGACGACGACGACCACGGACGACGGACGGCGAACGACGGACGACGGACGACGACGGCGACGAAGACTGCGACGACCACGAACGACGAACGAAGGACGAAGACAACGATACCGACGACAACGCCGACGACAATACCGACCACGACGACGACGCCTACGCCGACGCCGACGACGACGACGACAACCACGGACGGCGAACGACGGACGACGGACGACGACGACCACGATACCGACGACAACACCGACGATACCGACGACGACGCCGACGCCGATGCCGACGACGACGACGACGACGACGACGGCGACGACGACGACGACGACGACGGCGACGATACCGACGACGACGCCGACGACAACGACACCGACGATTGCGACGTGGCAACGACTGCGACGGTGGCCAAGACGACGACGACGACGCCCGGCTGCCGACTACCGACTGCCGACGACGACACCGAAGACGACGACGACGACCACGGACGACGGACGGCGAACGACGGACGACGGACGACGACGGCGACGAAGACTGCGACGACCACGAACGACGAACGAAGGACGAAGACAACGATACCGACGACAACGCCGACGACAATACCGACGACGACGACGACGCCTACGCCGACGCCGACGACGACGACGACAACCACGGACGGCGAACGACGGACGACGGACGACGACGACCACGATACCGACGACAACACCGACGATACCGACGACGACGCCGACGCCGATGCCGACGACGACGGCGACGGCGACGGCGAAGACGACGACGACGACGGCGACGGCGACGGCAACGGACGACGGATGACGGACGACGATACCGACACCGACGATGACGACGATGACGACGACGACGATTACGACGATTACGACGACTGCGACGTGGCGACGAAAACGACCGAGCCCACGACGACGATAACGACCGACCGATTAGCGACTCCCGACTACCGACAACGACGTCGACGACGACGACGACAACGGACGACGAAAGACGGACGACGGACGACCGACGACGACGACCACGACGACGACGCCGACGCCGACGACGACGACGACGACGACAACCGCGGACGACGAACGACGGACTACGCAGACACCAATACCGTCGACGACGACGGCGACGGCGACGGCCACGGCGACGGCGACGGCGTCAGCGACGGCGACGACGACCACGGACGACGGCGACGGCGACTGCGTCGTGGCCACGACTGCCACGGTGGCCACGACGCCGACGACGACGACTATGTCGACGACGACGACGCCGACGACGACGACGACGACGACGACCGACTACCGACTACCGACTACCGACGACGACAACGACGACGACGACGACAACAACCACAGGCGACGGACGACGGACGACGGACGACGGACGACGACGACGACGACGACGACGACGACGACGACGACGACGACGACCACGGACGACGAAAGACGGACGACGACGACGATACCGACGACATCACCGACAACACCGACGACGACGCCCACGGCGTCGACGACGACGACGACGATGACGACGACACCGACGCACGATGCACGACGGCCGACAGACGACGGACGAGGCGATCCTCCGTGTTCTTCGGCAGCTCGATGAGCGGCCGGCCCTCCGCCAGGTCGCCGTTCACCACCCGGAGCACCAGCGCCCGGCGGGTGAGAGGGGTGACGCTGTTGACCTCCCCAGGCGCGGCCTCCTCCTCCTCCTCCGCCTCCTCCTCGTCGTCGTCCTCGTCCTCGTCCTCCTCCTCCTCCGCCTCCTCCGCCTCCTCCTCCTTCTCCTCCTCCTCCTCCTACTCCGCCTCCTCCTCCTCCTCCTCCTCCTCATCCTCCTCCTCCCCCTCCCCCTCTCCCTCCTTCTCCTCCTCCTCCTCCTCCTCATCCTCCTCCTCCTCCTCCTCCTCCTCCTCCTCCACTTTGGCCCGATTCGAACGTCCGAGGTCACCTAGCTTCGCGCCTCGCGCCCCGCGTCCCGCGTCGGCGCCTGCGTAATGCCGCCTCCTGCATGCGGTCCCTTGGAGGTCAAGCAACGCTCCTCGCGGACTCGGCCCTGGCATCTCGAAGCACGCTTCAGGAGGGGGCACCACATGGCGCGAAGGGCGAAAAAGAGACGATCAGCCCGCATAACAAGGACGCGCGATAAGGACGCAAGGGTCTTGGAAGGCCATGTCGGCACGGGGCGGGCGGGGCGCGGCCAGCGAAAGCGGCCAAGAATGGGCCGTAGGGTAAGGAAGCAAGGGTACACGTCCTCTTACAGGCAGATTTGCGAGAAAACAAAAAACCGTCTCCTGGCTCATTTTTTACTATTCTTGAATATTCCCCCGGTAGAGGGACACACCCGACTCAAGGGTAGCCTTGGAAAGTCGCTCATCCTTACGATACGGCTTGACTGTGCTGGCGCTGACCCCTGCCCAACTTGTGGCAGCACGCCCTCTCGGCGGCCACGAATAACACACCGCCGCTTGGCTTCTTACGACTCTTAGACGGGCAGCCCGCCCACGACCCTTTGGCGGGCCTCCGCCGCTTTCCGCTCTCCCAGCCAGGCCCCTTCGCCGTGGCCTGGCCCGCCCTGACCACAGAGGCCTCCTGGATGGGGTCCGAGGAGCTGGGGTCGAAGGAAGGATCGCGCCGCATCGCCAATGCATCGCCGATGCATCGGCGATGCATCGGCGATGCATCAGCGACGTCGGCAGTGCATCGACGACGCCGGCGTGGGGAAGCACGGCCTCCACGTCGAGCCGCATCGTCGATGCATCGGCGATGCGGCGCGATCCTCCGACCCCATCTACCCGGACCCCACCTGGGAGGCCTAGATGACCACGAATAAACAGATCCCCAATCCCAAAATCGCGGATTCGCCGAGGATTCGAAGATCGGCCAAAGATTTCGGGGTATGTTTTGCGTTCGTCGTCGTCACCCTGGTAAAACCCTACCCCAAAATCTCCCTCCCCGAAGTCTCGAGGTGTCTGCGTCTTGTCCTGGCCCCCGCGCTTTTGGGATTGGGCGTCTGTTTTGAGTTAGTGACTAGAGGCCAGTGGCCAGCAGGGGGCCACAGACCAGCCCAGGCCCTCGGGCCGGGCGCCGAAGGGGCCGCGAAGGGCCTCCGAGGGCCACCGAGAGGCCGCAGGAGGGCCGCAGGAGGGCCGCCGGAGGGCCGCCGAGAGCCGCCGCAAAACGCACGGCAAGTTCGCGTCGTGGCGACTTGCCGGAAGGGGCCCCTGGGACATACAAATAAATGCACACAAATAAAAAGATTCCCCATAATTTTCCTATACTTTCTGGGTGTTCGTCTTCCCCCGCACTTCCCATATTTTCCCATATTTCCTTGGGAATCGACGATTAATTATGTCTGTGTTTCTTTCCCTCCTGATTGCCCAAAGATCCGGGCGTCTCAATCATTTCACTCGGAAGTGGGCACAAACATCTCTTTAATAAACCTCCCTTTGGTGACAACGGCCCAGGACCGAAACCGACGGACCTGGGGCCGCAAGAATGACAGCCGCGACGCCGTCTCGCGAACCGAAAACGGCCAATTCGCCAATCGACGCGTCAGGGCAGGAGGTATATCAACCCCCGCTTCACAACTTGCATGTTCGCCCGCCTTCGGGCCACGGCACCCTCACACATCGATCCGGCCTGAAGAGTGGCGCAGAAAGATGGCGTCTGGGGTTCCAAGCGTGACTTTCCCCCAAGTCGCACTTTTTGCTGCAACGTCGGATCTCAAGGTGCTGACACCGCGCGGATCGTTCAACCGTGATCGATCGGCGTTTTTTTCAATCGCCGGATCGTTCCACATTTCTGGGACCTACTGACCCAGGTCATTGCAAACCTGGGTCAGTCAGGCGTTGCAGGATCCTGCAAAATCCTGCAGGCTCATGCAAGATCCTGCACCCAAGCCTGGGTCAGTGCGACCCTGGCTCTGAAGGATCCTGCAAGATCCGGGGGTCTGACTGGCGTTGACCCCCGTCTCTTCAGCTCTGAACGTTGGCCGACTCTGGCCCACCGGCGGCGTTCAGCTTTGAAGGGGCCCAGGGGCACACCAAGAAGTAGACACAACTCCCAGGACTCCCACTAGTTTTCTACAATCTCCTGGGAGTCGACGATGAAATTCGTGCCTGTATGTGTCCCCCTCCTGCTCAACTTGGAACGCCCGCGCTGGGGTCGCCGCCGCGTCGACGCGGCACGAACCTACCGCAGCGGGGGGGGGGGCGGCGGCCCCGAGCCCCGACGTTGTGAAGCTGCCGCCCCGAACCCAGGAACCGCGGGGCCCCGCCCGGGCATGCACGCCGAGCTCTGGACGTGGAGGCAGGCCAACGACCGAAGAGTCGAACCTATTGTGCTTCCCGTAGGCAGAGGAAGGTACTCCAGATTTCGTAATAAAAGGGAGGGGGTCTCAACCCCCCCAGACGAGAAGTTTTAGACCCCCCCCCGTGGGAGAACCCTCCAAAACATCGTCCCAGACCCCCCCAGGCCCTCCAAGATAGCCTGGAAGAGACCCCCCCGAAATGAGACCCCCCTCCCTTTATTACGAAATCTGGAGTAAGGGAGAGGGTCGTGATTCATTTTTCCCGTACGCTGCGGATGGGGCAGCGCGGTACCGAGTACCAAAGTATCTAATACCTGAGCCGAGAAGACGGCGGTATATCAGGATATAATGGTGATATGAGCGGGTTTCACATATACACACACACAATGGAAACCCTGAACCCAAAAACGTCATCTCTTGGTGGCGCACCTTTTACTTCCGCCTTCCGCCGGCCTTCCGCCGGCTGCCGCCGGCGGAGCCGCCCTCGTCGTTTTGCTTCCGCCACCTTCCGCCGCCCTCCGCCGCGGAAGAGATGGCAACTCCTTCGGTCCTCGCAGGCAAGGCCCTCTTTGGGACGCCTCTCACGACGGGGAGGGGGCGTCCATCCTCGATAGGCGTGGCCTGAAGAGGCCCCCTCTGGTGTGCATCCCCATGGTTCCCTCCTGTCGAAGAACAAAGCACAGCATGAACACTAACTCTCGGAGGTCCGCGCTGATTTCTTGGATCTGCGCTGAACCCCCCGCCCAGGTGCGCGGAGCGCGCCAGGGGCGTTGCCGGAGGCGCCGCCAGGGTGCTCCAGCGCCGATCCGAGAAATCCGCGCGAACCTCAGAAAGTCCCTGTTCACGTCCTCCTTCGTTCCTCGACTTGTTTGTCTGAGCGGCCTCTCTGGGGGGGGGGGGGACTCGGCGGGTTTCTGGATCTCCAGAATAGCACGAGGATCCACAGCATGTTGCAGAACCAGTACAAGAAAACGCAAGTGCCGCAAGAGATGTGGGATGGCGAGAGACAAGAGCGTGCCTCAGACAAGCTGGTCCCTCCCTCGCAGCTGGATGCTGTGCCCGAAAACGTTAGATCTGGCGCTCGGGTCCTTGCCCTCCCTGAGCAGAGCACCCTGATTGCTTCGGCGGGTTGCGGCCCCTCCCCCTGTCCCCCCCCCCCCCCGCGGGCCATGCGCAGCGCGGCCACTCGAAGCGACTGGTCCTCTGCGACCCGCGCGCCCGCCTCGTGGGACTCCGTGCTGGCGAGCCCCCTCCCCTGGCCCACCGTCGCGGCAGTCGTCGACATCGTCGCAGTCGATGTCGCCGTCGACGTCGACGTCGTCGACGTCAGCCGCGTCGTCGTTGCCGCCACTGCGGCCGCCGTCGTCGGCCGTCTGTCGTCTGCCGTCTGTCTGTGTCGTCTGCGTCGTCTGCGTCGTGTGTGCTGTCGTCGTCATCGTCGTCGTCGTCATCGTCGTTGTGTCGCGTGCGAGGGTCCACGTCTCTGGGCGCGTGTCGCCCTCTTCGGGCCTCAGGGGCCTCGGGGCAGCGCCCAGAGGCCTCAAGGAGGCCTCGAGGAGGCCGCCAGAGACCGCGGGGAGGCCCGCGGCAGGTACGTCACCCCGACATCGGCCGAACCCCCAATGGCCGCCAGCTGAGGCGCTGCCAGCGCGCCGTGCCCGCACGACTGCCCCCTCGGCCCCGTCGGCGCTGCTGCGGGCCTGACGCGTGGCCAACTTGCGATGGTTCTTCATGATGGGCCTGTCTTCCTCCACCACCACCACCACCATGAGTTGAAGGGGGGAAGGAGGAGGAGGAGGAGGAGGAAGAGGAGGAGGAGGAGGTGGAGGAGGAGGAGGACGACCCCCTCCCCCTCCAACTTATAGTGGTGGTGGTGGTGGTGGAAAACAGGCCCATCATATTCAGACCTGGCCGTGCACCCCACCAACCCTGACGGGGGGGGCACAACGATCCTGGCTCTCCTCCGACGAGGCCGCACCACGAGCGCACATGTCACAATCACCGTCTGCGTCGGGGTCATCGCCGCCGCCCTCAATTTCGGGGGGCCCGACGTGAACTTCCGTACATCCACCCTCGTGGCCACCACCAGTCTAGGCAGTCATGGTCAGCGACACCATATTCATCGCTACAACTGCTCGCCACGTACACCCGCTGTTCACTGCGCAACCACCAAATGTCGCATGGACACCATGAGCATGAGTGACGATGGCCTCATTACATAAGCCGACATGCCTCCACTACGATCGGGGCGTTGACCTAAGGAACCCTAAGTAAGGAGCGAGGCTCCTTCTTCCATACATGAAATTGCAATATCCCATCAATATAATTAAGACAAATCGAAGGCAAACTGTGAAATAATGAAGGAACACGGATCCCCTCCCAAACGAAAAGTGTTCCTTCTTTCTTCAGCGCCCCGACTGTACAGTGCGACCGAATCGTAAGGGCACGCGGTAATAATGAAAGGCCATTGCACGCCCAAACTGAAGCCGAAATTCGAAGCCCATGGCCCATGGTTGAGTGATAGATTGGGCCGAGAAGCAAGGATGCGAGGGTACCCTTGGGTTGTCAAGTGAACGTGTTCTCTCTCTCTCTCTCTCTCTCTCTCTCTCTCTCTCTCTCTCTTTTTGTCAAATGAACGTTTTCTTATTCGGCGTTTCGACATTGGGCGGAAGAAGGGGGGAAGGTCGGGGGTCCAGCTCCGGACCCCAGCTTAGTGCGACTGTTTGGATCCGTGCGCCCTATGGGGGAGGGACTCCACCTGCTCGAAACAGGCGCCCAAAACAGCCAAGATCTACTCCACGGGGGGAGGGGGAATGCGAGGGCACGCGCCGATCGGCAAAACAGCGAATAAGAAAACGATCACCTTGGAAAGTCATCTCATCCTTATGATAATGTTTTGACTGCATTAGCCCGAGCTGCACCTCATATTCGCATCGCTTTTAGCGCGCAGTTGCGCGTACCTGCCTAGCATGTCTGGACTGTGCCATCGGGCGTACCCACAAGCCTAGCGGCGCAGATGCTCCAAATTCAAATCTCAACGAGCGTGGCTAAGCCGCTTAGCCGATTACTCCAGATTTCGTAATAAAGGGAGGGGGGTCTCATTTCGGGGAGGGGGCTCTTCCAGGCTATCTTGGAAGGCCTGGGGGGTCTGGGGACGATGCTTTGGAGGGTTCTCCCACGGGGGAGGTCTGAAATGGCTTGTCTTGGAGGGTCCAGACCCCCTCCCTTTTATTTCGAAATCTGGAGTATCCGATTACAGCCGTCTACGCATCCGCGCATGCAAACGCACAGGGCCGCCACGCGGGAAAGGACGCCCGGTCGACCGAAGGCGACGCCCGCCTGCCGCCCAAGGCGCCGAAGGGGGGGGGGGGGGGGGGGGGCGAAGGGGGCGGCCTCCCAAGAAGCTGGGAGGAGGAGGAGGAGGAGGAGGAGGAGGAGGAGGAGGAGGAGGAGGAGGAGGAGGAGGAGGAGGAGGAGAGAAGGAGGAGGAGGAGGAGGAGGAGGAGGAGGAGGAGAAGGAGGAGGAGGAGGAGGCCCTGCTGCAGCCACTGCCGCGGGGCGCACCCGATGGAGAACGCCGCAGCGGAGCTCTCCGACGCGGAAGCTCCCTGTCCACCCAACATTGGCGGCGGCCTGGGGTCTGAGCTGGCTGGGCCCCGAGAGTACGGAAATGGCATTTTTTTTTATCTCTGTAGGCCCTGCGCGCGCGCAGGGGGTTCATGCATGCATTCAGGCAGAGGGGGCGGCAGGCCGAGGCTACCCGCGCGCCCGCGCGGCCGCCAGCTGCGCCTCCAGGTCCATTAGGAGGGCTGACGTCGCGCCTCGGAGCTCGTCCGATGCCGACCGCCATTGGCCCGAGGCCTTCTCGGGCGCGGTCGGGCTCGGCTCCGAGTGGCGCCCCCGCGGGTCATCCGCCGAAAGGTCCGCGCAGGCGTCCTGCTCGGCCACGGCCTCTGCAGCAACCACACTGCTGTTCGCGCCCTCGGACGCCTGCGGCAGCGCCTCGCCACCTGCAGCCTCGGACAGCCCGATGGGCTCCGAGGTGCCTGCAGTGCCGCCGCTCAGGGCGGCCCCCTGGGCGAACCCGCCGCGGGCCCGCGCGCCGCTGCCGTGCACCTGCGCCGTGCCCCCAGCAGCGGCATACAGCGCGTCGAGCTCCGCGATGCCAGCAGCGTTCACCTCCGCGTCGCGCGGCTTCTCGAACTCGCCGCGACCCTGGGACTGCGACTTCGGTGGGCTGAATCCACCTGTCCCAGGGCCGGGCTCCGCCGCGGCGGCGTACCTGGAGTCGGCCTCGCCGCCGAGCTCCGCCGCCAGATCAGCCATCAGCTGGTTCAGGTCGTCCTGGACGCCGAAGGCCTCGTTCGCCGACACGAAGACCTCCTCCACGAAGGCGTCGTGGAGATCGGCTAGGTCGCGGGCGCGGGCGGCCGCAGCGCCCTGGGGGCCACCGAGCTGCGGCCCGCCGCTCCCGCCGTCGGCGGCCTCCAGCTCCGCGTCGATGCCGTCGGTCTGCGCGTGCTGGCAACCCTCGCCGAGAAGCGCCTCCTGCATGGGGGCGGCGTAGGCGATGTGGTCCGCCAGCAGCTGGTTGGCGTCGTGCGGCGTGTGGGGCACGCCGCCGCCGGGCGCGCCAGCGCCGATGGGGCCGAGGGGGACGAAGGGAGGCGCATCCGCCCTCAGCGCGCCATCGGCCGCCGCGCGCCGCTCCAGCCGGGGTCCCCGCTGCGCAGAACGTAGCTCCGCCGCGCTGGCCGCCACGATGTCCATGCCCTGCGCCTCGGCATGGAGGGCGACGTTGCGGCGCAGGCGCTCGAGCCAGGATGGGGTCCACCCTCCCAGCGTGGCCTGCAGCGCGGGGAGCATCGCCTGCAGCCTATGGGCCACCTCGTCATCCCCGATGACAGCGCCCAAGGCCTGCTCCGCGGCCTCCAGACGGGCCCGAGTCCTCCCCAACTCGCCCGTCAGCCGCCGCACGGCGTTGTCGGCGGACCACTTAGCCCACTGCCGTCCCGCAGCACGCTGGGCCGCCGAACGCTTTGGCGCGCACTCCGCGCCATCCCGCGCCATCCTGGGTCCCGCGCGCCCGAAAGCGGGCGGACCTGGCCTTGAGCCAAAATGGCTACGGACTACGGAACTGGCATTGGATAAGGAAAGCTGCGATAAGGAATCCAGGGTCAGTGGAAAGTCAGTCGTGGATTGGCCATGGGTATCACCCCCGCCCTCGTCAGATAAGGAACCCTGCGGGGTCTGAAGGAGCCTGGGCACGTTCCTTAACGAACGCCCCCACCATATCGGTCAAGAAGGGGGATAAAAAGGCAAGTCCGAAAAATCGGTCCCCAGGCACCTCCTGGGCTGCACATCTGGTGCAACTTTCGCCCCGGATCCGTTTTTGGCCCCGAGGCCCGGAAACGGCCCCCAGGAGCAGAAGAAAACAAGAACCTCTCCCGGAGCGAGAAGTTCGAACCTGCCCCGCCCTTGCTGCTCGCCGGAACCAGTGCTGGGCCACCCCAGGCCCCCCCGCCCGCTGCAAACCCGGCGGGCGTTCTTGGTCCTCCGGGGCTGCCTCCTCCAGGGGCAGCCCTATGCAAGTCCCGAACTCGAAGCTCCCCCCCGAGCCTCCTACGGTCGGGAACTTCTGCTCAGCGTGTCGCGGCGGCGGCCCTGGCGACACGCGATGCCTTGCGAGTGGATAGCATGTCGCTCCGCTCCGCGGGGCAGGAGGCCGGGAAAAACTCCAGACGCTGAAGCTGGGGGACCAGGAACTGGTCAGCATGCCGCGCCGAGGTGTGGTGGAATTGGCGGAGCGACACGCCAGGCCAAAGTTCCTGACCGCATCTCCCTAATGTTGCCCTTGAAGGTTTGAGCAAGGACCGACAGTCCCGGCATTCCTATAGGCCTGCCACGACATTGACCCAGCATGAAAAAAGGCTCAAATAACAAAAGCAAGCTCCCTAGAACATAGACACGATGTACTCAAACAAGACAGTCTGAGCCAGAATGCTCTCAGAACATTCCGCGCAAGACAGAGCAAGGTTTTAGAGTATGTTGTCTTGGTGGGCCTGGGATAGCAAAAGAAAAACTGCATAAACAGAAACCTTCGACGGTCTGCGCGGGTTTCTTGGATCTGCGCTGAACCCCCTCCCTGGCGCGCGGAGCGCGCAAGGGGCGGCGCCAGAGACGCCAGGGGAGGGGAGTCCAGCGCAGATCCAAAGAATCCGCGCGGACCGTCGAAGACTTGTGCAGCTCTCTCTTCTCCGACATGAGCGAGCCAGGGCGCTTCGCCACTGCTTGAATAGAGGCCTCCCAGAGCCGCATCGCCGATGCATCGGCGATGCGGCTCCACGTGGATCCATAGTTTTTCTCAACGCTGATGTCGCCGACGCATCGGCGACGCCATTGTCGGCGATGCATCGGCGATGCGGCGCGATCCTCCGACCCCATCTGCTCGGACCCCATCTGCTCGGACCCCATCTGGGAGACCTAGATTAGGGGCTCGACCACAAGAAACCTTCCACAAGAAACCCAACCCCGAGACCCGAGGGCGTCAATTGATTCTTGGTGTGGGCACATCACGCCTTCCATCGCAAAGCCATCGAAACCCAAGAAACCCAGGGCACCCTGGAGGTAAGCAGGGTGTTTCCTGGCATCGGTCTCCGCTGTAGACTGAAGGAGGAGGAAGAAGAAAAAGAAGAAGAAGAAGAAGAAGAAGACAAACAAGAAAAACAGGAGGAGGAAGAGGAGGACGAGGGCGGAGGAGGAGGAGGAGGAGGAGGAGGAGGGCGAGGAGGAGGAGGAGGAGGAGGAGGAGGAGGAGGAGGGAGGAGGAGGAGGGAGGAGGAGGAGGAGGGAGGAGGAGGAGGAGGTAGGAGGAGGAGGGCCGGAGGGAGGAGGAGGAGGAGAGGAGGAGGAGGAGGAGGAGAGGAGGAGGAGGAGGAGGAGGAGGAGGAGGGAGGAGGAGGACCCCATCTGGGAGACCCAGACTGCAGGGTGCCTGGCAGCCCGCTGCCGCAAGCCCTCCCGGTCCCCTCCAGGGGCCGCCCTGCTGACACATGCGGGCCACGTACTCCGCCCACGGCACGCGGCCGCTGCCCTCCGCCGGGCCGGCGGCTTCTGCGCCGGCCGTGGCGAAGTAGCTGCGCATGAGCAGCATCTCCTGCGCGCGCGGAAGGAGGAAGGAGGAGGAGGAGGAGCAGGAGGAGGAGGAGAGCGATGATGATGATGATGATGATGATGATGATGATGATGATGATGATGATGATGATGTGATGATGATGATATGATGATGAGGGAGGAGGAGGAGGAGGAGGAGGAGAGGAGGAGGAGGAGGAGGAGGAGGAGGAGGAGGAGGAATAGGAGGAGGAGGAGAAGCAGGAGCAGGAGGAGGAGGAGGAGGAGGAGGAGGAGGAGGAGGACGAGGAGGAGGACGAGGAGGACGAGGAGGAGGAGGAGGAGGAGGAGGGACGAGGAGGAGGACGACGACGACGACGACGAGGAGGCTGCACGCAAGAGCGGCCCTGGGCAAGAGTGGCCTCTGGTGCGCGGCGTTTTTCGAAGAGGGGTCGACTGCAGAATTGATGTACTCCAAGATGGGCTTTCTCGCCGAGGATAGAAGAAACACGCAGAATGTTCGCAGATCTACGGGACACTCTACGCCTTATCGCGCAGATTCGCCGGGAGGATCCATCCAGGAGTGGATCGATTCTGTAGCCGATCCCCTGCTTGACTTCTGCGGGCCGCGGGGGGGGCTACGCGCAAGTGCGCAAGACACTACCGTCGCACCGCACGCGACGATCGGGGGGCCCAGCGGGCGCGCACCAAATGATAGGCCTGTTTTCCACCACCACCACCACCACCACCACCACCACCACCATAAGTTGGAGGGGGGAAGGAGGTGGAGGACGAGGAGGAGGACAAAGAGGAGGAGGAGGAGGAGGAGGAGGAGAAGGAGGAGGCCCTCCTCCCCTCCTCCCCCCTCCAACTATGGTCGTGGTGGTGGTGGAGAACAGGCCCAGCACCAGAGGTCACTCCGGCGAAGGGCCACTTCTTACACGTGGTCGAGCGCGGGCCGGGGGGGGGGGGGGGGGGGGCCCCACACGGCCCCCCGTCGCGCCGCGCGCAGATTCCCAGGGCCTGCTGCTGCACGCGGCCTCTGTTGGCGGCGCGCCAGAGGGGGTGGAGGGACGGGGGAGGGCTTCTTCGAAGGAGGCTGCTTCTTAGAGGGTGTCGGCCTTACATCTACAGACGAGGCCCGCGCCTTCTACTAGGGCTCCCAACTTCGCGCTTCGCGCTGCGCGAAGCGCGAAGCGCGAATAACTTCGCGCCCTCGCGCCGCCCCCCCAAAGGGAGAAAAGGAAGACGAGGAGGAGGGGGGAGAAGGAGCGAGGACCGCGAAGCGCGAAGCGCGAATAACTTCGCGCCCTCGAGGGAGCCCTTGGAAGCAGGGGTGCTTCTAAGAAGCCCTCCCCCCTCCCCCCACCCCCCTCTGCGCGTGGTCGACTCTGGGGGCCCTCGCCGGCCCCCGGGGCCGTCAAGAGAAGCGACCCGAGACGGAAAAAAGCCGGCCCCGGGGAGCGGGTCGAGGCGTCCGACGTCGGGGGTCTAGGTACGGCAGGTTCGCGTCGTGCCGACCCTGGCGTTGGTTTTTGACACCGCAGGGATCGTTCAACCATGAACGATCGGCCGCTGCCGCAACGTCCGATCGTTCAACATCGATCGATTCTGGGTCGCCAGCGGCGTTCAACCTTGAACGCCCGCGGCGAGGTCGACGAGGGTCGACACGACGCGAACCTACCGTACCCAGAGATCCGATGTCGTGATTTTTTCACCGCGGGGTCCCTGGAAGTCTCGACCCATTCCCCAGGGCCGGTGTTTCAATCCGAGTCGTGTTTCGAGGGCCCTGGGGCCCAGCGAGGGCCCCTGGAGGCCGGAAAGTACGAAAAACCTCCGTCTTGAGTGTTTCAATGCGTTGTATCTCTGGCTAGGCAGGCAGGCAGGCCCACGCTGGATCGGGTCGCGAAGCCGGAGCCGGTCGGGAGCGGGTCGGATCGCCAGCGCATCGTCCCGAGCCACATCGAGATCGGAGCGCCGCGCCCTTCTCCAGCTGGCCTCGGCCGAGGCAGGTGGATCGGGCCGGATCGAAGCGAATCGGAGCCCTGGAATCCGACGTCGCGAACAAAATAGGAAGGCACCAACTATCCACCAACACCGATCCTGGCCAGGATCACCCTGGGCCCAGGATCGGTGGATACGCCCTCCTGCCATGGGCAGAATGCATATACACCGATCCTGGGCCCAGGATCGGCCTGGGCTGGATCGGTGTAGGTGTATAGTTGGTGCCCTCCGACAAAACTCAACACGGTGGGGGCGTTGGGTAAGGAAACCTTCGATGAGGAATCCAGGGTCTGGAAGCCAGTGGAACTCCCATCGAAGCTTGGCCATGGACATCACCGCCGACCTCCTGAGATAAGGAGTCCTCCAGGGTCTACAGCATCTTTGGCGCATTCCTTAACCGACGCCCCCACCGTATCGGAAAAAATCACTGTCGGAACCCTAGACCCCATCTTGCTGCGCCAGTGCTTACGCCGGATCGATCTGTGGGGGCCCCTGGGCCGCAACTGGGCGAAACCGCCCTGCTCGTAAAAATTGGGACGCCAGGCTCTCAGGGAATCAAATCGGAGTCGCGGCCCCAGCCGGCGCATCGAACCGCACCGAGGGCGACGAAGTCTATGGGCATCCACTGCCCCAGGCCAGGCCCATCCTGGGCCCAAGACCGCTGTAGGTGCCTCCCTGGCCGTGCCAGGAGGGCGCATGCACCGCTGCTGGGCCCAGGATGGGCCAGGCCTGGGGCAGTGCATACGGCAGGTTCGCGCCGCGCCTGACGACGCCGCGAACCTGCTGACACCGCGGGGATCGTTCAAACTTGAACGATCGGCCGTTCCATGAACGCCAGATCGTTCAACGACGGGCCGATTCTGAGCCACGGGCGGCGTTCAACCTTGAACGCACGCGCTGGGGTCGCCGCCGGTCGACTCGGCGCGAATCTGCCGTACGTACCCAGGCATCCACCGATACGAGTTTTTCAATCCGCGGCCCCAGAGGTACTGACCCCTTCTCCTGATGTGGTTTTCCGTCCCGGATCCACTTTTGATGGTCCCCGAGCCCGATAAAGGGCCCAGGCAGCGAAATCCAGGGAAAACCGCCAGTTTGCCCCCCCCCCCAAAAAAACATAAACCTCGGATACACACATATCCAGACCTCCGATGTCATGATTTGTTCATGACGTCGGCCCCCAAGGGTCTCGACCCATTCCCCGAAACCGTTTTTTTCCCAATATCCTAAGATGGGGTTCTTGTTATCACTTGGACGCCACCTACTCCTCATTACTCGTCTTCGCCTCCTCCTCCTCCTCCTCCTCC